CATAGTAATATGGTGTTATCAAAGGTATGTTTTGTAGTACTTGTTAGTGTGATAAAGATGTATAAGACCAAGTTAAATCCACATGGCTCAATTTGAAAACACAAAGCAATATTGATGGCTAGAAGATTCTTTTAGAAAAATGGGATTGACTACAACGAAGTATTTTCTCATGTGGCTAGACTTGAAATAATAAGACTGGTAGTGGTCCTAGCTAACAACAAGGATTGGTCACTTTATTACCTAGATGTGAAGTCTGCCTTCTTGAATGGTCCTCTAGAAGAAACAATGTATGTAACTCATCATCCATGTTTTATGATAAAAGGAAAGAAGCATATGGTATACAAGTTATACAAGGCTTTGTATAGCTTAAAGAAAGCTTCAAGAGCTTGGAATAAGAGGATTAACTAATTTCTGATCCAATTAGGATTCAAGAATTCACAGTTTATTATGGTGTATATAATCAAGAATCAAAAAAAGAAGGCATCATAATGATTTGTTTGTATGTGGATGGCATGCTCATCACATGTTGCCACACATGTGCTATAGAGAAGCTAAAAAATAAAATGAAAAAGGAGTTTGAAATGACAAATCTGGGCAGGTTATCATATTTTTTGGCATGGAATTTGTAAAGAACAAAAAGGGAATGCTCGTGCATCAACAAAAGCATGTGAAATAATTGTTGGAAAGATTTAAGATGATGGATTGTAAAGTAGTCACAAATCCTTTTGAGGCAAACACTAAGCTAGATGTGTGCGCAAGTGAAAAACAGTTAGATTCCATATTGTACAAAACAATTGTTGGTTCACTAAGATACTTATGCAATAACATGTCATATATATGTTATTCACTAAGTATAGTGAGAATATTTATCAGCATGCCTAAGAAATCACACCTAGTGGCTGAAAAAATAATTATTTGGTGTCTAAAAGGAACCTTAAAGTTAGGTTTGAACTTTCCAACTCTTGTAACAAAAGAAGAACAAGTTTTATTGGTTATAGTGATGTTGATTGGTGTGGAGACAAAATGGATAGAAGAAGTATATTTAGTTATATATTATTATACAATGAGGCAACTACTTCTTGGTGTACAAAGAAGAAACTAGTCATTATATTGTCCTCTTGTGGCGCTGAATATATTGCAGGTTCATTTGCCTCGTGTCAATCAATTTGGCTTGAATCATTATTGAGGGAACTTAAGTATGAAGTGTAAAAGCCTATGAAGTTGATGATTGATAAAAAAATCTACAATAAGCTTGACCAAGAATCCAGTATCGCATAGAATAAGCAAATATATTGAGACAAGATTTCACTTCATAAGGGAACGAGTGATGAAATACATGATAGAAGTCATACATTCTCTCACAAAGGAGTAACTTACTGATGGCTTTACAAAAGCTTTAAAGATTGAATGCTTTGAATACTTGAAGAGCCAATTAGCACTTCTAGACATTTAGAATTATGGGAAAGTGTTTTAATAATTCTAAACTAGGGGGTTTAAAACTAATTAGGAGTTAGTTAGTTAGTTGATTAGCTTGTGACTCAAGTAAGTTACTTGAATCACAAGCATCTATAAAACCAACATCTCCTATGTCTTTCATATAATGCAATAATTTTTAAAAGTTGTATGAAGCTTGAGTTAGAAATAATTTAAGCCAAAACTCTTTTTCTCTCATTTTTCTGTTTTTCTATTTTCTATTTATGTATACTTGTTGTTAGTCAGGATTTCGACAAAGTTCAAATCCAGCTAAAGGGAATAAATATGGCCTAAGGCGACAAGAGAAGTATAAGAGAGAGAGAGAGGGGGGGGGGGGGGGGGGGGGGGGTCAGGAAAGTAGATTTAAAATAATTATCTAAGAATTAGAAGGTCATGTCGACATAAAGCTCGATGAAGACATGAGGAGCTTGTTTGCAATAGGCAGTTACAGAAAGGCGAGTGCGGGAAAAGATAGCTCGTTAGTGGATTTGCAAACATAGGATCGTGTAAAACAAATTGAAGAACTGACGGACACATGGTGCTTGGAAAAGGGAAGCCCACCAAAAGAGAAGTTACTTTTTGTACTATAAATAAGACATTGTAAATAGTTTATAGGCATTCAAACTTACTCACATCTTACACAAATACTCAGAGTACCCAAGCGAAGAGCGAAATGAATCAAGCAAGAGCAATATATGTTTGAATCGCCGATTTTTCTTTTATATTAATGTCAAGCAAATTTACTTTCAACTTTACTTAAGCCCTTCAAATCTATTTTGTTTATCTTTCAAAATCTTTTTGTTTTTACCATCTACAAAAACAAGTTGACTTCACACCGTATCGAAGTCACTTGCATCCAAGTCACTCATCATATCTATCTCAAAAGCACTTTAAATTTGAAGCATTGTCTTGAGATTTACTAGTCAATCTCGCAAAACAACCTTCAACAAGATATTCAACAAGAGACTAGCGTTGTTTATCAATTTCTAAGATAAACACTTACATGGAAAGAAACGGCTTGTTGTGCCACTAATATGCCCAAGGTTTAAACTTTTACATCAAAGTATTATTTTGAAATTGATTATTTTAAAGTAAAAAACAATTTTAAAAAATGTATGAAAATAAACTCTCTTTTTTTAAATTAGAAGGAATATAATAGGGAATTAACCTAAAATTAATTATATTTTGAATTACACACAACTTATAGAAAAACGCACTCAAGTGCCTCTAGTTGACAAATCAAATTATCTAAACTAATAAAAATATTCAATCACATCAAAATCAGTCCTAAAGGTCCACCATATGTTATTTATAATATTATATCCCTTCATTTAAAGTAGAAATATGTTTGAAGAATTAGTATAGTTTAACAGAAAAATAATCATAAGAAAACAAGAAAAGTTATAGAGTGCGTATTGAAGGAGCAATTGCGGTTAGAATAGAATTTGATTACACATAAATGCTTGAATTCCAAGTTAGTTATCCCTAGTTGGTGGTTTTGACATGGGTTTCCCATATTCAATGCAAAACTAGATTAAGACACTTATTATTTACGACCCAATCATGGTTTTACTTGGAGGGTTTGCTTCTTTATCACATTTACAACAACCTCTTTCGTCTAATCGCTACTCTATCAAAATCTTATTATCAAAATGTTTGTTGAATAAAATAAGACACATCTTAAAGATTGATCCCCACATAAATTCATTTTTCTTTGTAAAAGCCAATAGATAAGGGCTTTTCCATGTGTGATGGTTGTTAAGTTAGCCATGCGATTCTTCTCATATACTATATTTTCATAAAACAAACTTTGGTCAGATTGTATTTCACTTTCATTATAGGTTTGGTCATAATGCTGTTATGGCTAAAAGATGAATTAGCTGTTATTGGGTTTTGTCACTTTTTTTGTCTCCTATTACAAGTGAAAATGGCTGCTTTGTTTAGTTTAGCCTTGATTTGATTTGGAGCCTTATTTGGGTCACTATTGGAAGGAACACAAGAGTTAGTTTTATTAACATAATCCAAAAAAAAAAAAAAAATTAAATAGTGTTAGCTAAGCAACATAACATGTACAAATTATATAATATAATCACCTCTTAAAAGTGGTATCAGCGTGTCAGACTTCTTTTAAACACGGACACTTCTCAAACACATGTCTTGGACACGTGTCTGTATCTTTAACTTAATCTTTCGAATAATTATTTAATATATTAGATTTATTCAAAACTAAAATGGGTCAAACTTTTGATTTAATCCTCCCAAAATAATCCTATTGTTTTTATAAAAAAGATTTTCAAATAAAACAATTGATAGAGCATTAGTTTACCGATTACAAAATATGTTACATAAGTACTAAAAACATTTTAGACATGCGACAATAGACCTGAAATGATAATTCCTCTTGATATTGAACCAATTTTTGTGAGATTAATTAGCACATTGATTTTTTCCTAGTAGTCTAATAGTTATTGAACCAATTTTTGTAAGATAATTAGTACAATTTTTGTGAGATTAATTAGTACATTGATTTTTTTCTTAGTAGTCTAATAGTTACAATTTCATCCATTAAAAGTGAATAAGTCAGATGTCGCAGATTTGAATTCATATCTTTATAATTTATGTCTCTGTACAACTATCAACTGAACTGACTTCGCGAGAGAATATATTAATCTTTGTCAGTCAAATTATATATGTAGGAAAGTATATTATATATGTTTACATGTACATAGATCAACTCATAGGAAGTACTGATGTATTATGTTTCTAAAGTGGTTACAAATTCCAACATATAAACAGACAAAATGTGTATGGAATTGAAAGAATCAGTTCAAAGATTTATCTCGGAGACATGATATCTTATTGATGTTAACTTTGACTTCATCTACACTTAAGCACACTCAACTATCTATGAATAGGTTATGACATGATTTTGGTGAAGCTCAAATAGAATTATTCTTACATAAAAATAATTCCATTTTCTTCTTATAAAGCTTACTATACAAGTAACAAATGAAAGCTTCACCATATACTACAAATTTATGGATCCAAAGAATTTGCATTACATATGATCCAAATATAGCAGCTAGCCAAATTCTTCTTTTATAGAACTATATTGCATGAACTGCTATGGTTATACATTTATAAATATCTGCAAAGTGCGATAAATAGTTCAAACAAACTCAGTAGTGGTTTAGAGTAACATTTTACCATGGATTTTGAATCTTGAATGCAACAACTTTTTGGTATATAATGGTATCTTTCTAAATCAAATTACATTTGAATGTTTTCCAAATAAATATTTGGCACGAGTAATAATATCGGACGATCAAGTATGAATTTATGTCAATACAAATCATGTATAAACTTGAAGAGTTTCACATTGTTGTAAGTTTCTATAAGAAATCTTATGACGATTTTCTATGATGGTCTGATTTAGCACTTTAATCATCAATTCACAGAGAGGAAGTGGAAATTTGTTGAGTGAAGGTAGAAATTCAGACTTCCATTGCACTTGGAATGTCGATATCTTAGTCATCCACGGATAAATCTTTCTCTAAAGAAGAACAGGAGAGATCTTTGCCACCAAACATGACTCTAATTGGATCTTGATCTCCTTCAAATAGTTCTTCATAGTTTTGGAATGTTAAGTCAACGTCGGGCATGTTAAAATCATCTTGACAAGCAAGTTCTTCGCATATTCCCAGGTCTTGAATATTTTGGGACCATAACTGCAAACATTGATAAGATTCCCAAGTTCTTCGCAATTACTAAGTTTCGCAAGTATGAAGATTAAGACATCAGCATGAAAATAAGTATCTTACCTGATTATTTTGAAGTGAACTTTTGTAAGTCCAAAACAATTCTCCATTCAAGGGAAGGTCCATAGCTGAAGATGAAGACAAATTATCAAGTTGAGAAAACGCAGACGAGAAGGTTTCGGTATTCACCTCTCCGATCGGATTGTCTTCCTCCAGAAGACTAATAGCAAAATCCTGAGATTTTTGAGCTTGCTGATTGAATTTTTCATCCACATGTAGCCCATTTATCTTTGTAGAATGATCATTCTCCTCACTTAGCTGAAACCGTTTTAAATCAACGATCTGCTGCAGAATAGTTTTCCGCTCGTGATCATTGAACATTATCTGTCGCAAGAAATTATCATGAACTTGTCTGTTCTTTTTCTTTCTTCTTTTTGATAATCAATATGATTTATATTCAAAATCTGCATACCTGACCTAGTCGACTGCTAGACCCCTTATCGAACGTTGAAACACGAGAACCAGATGCGAACAGATCCTTCTGATTGACACACTTTTCAATCTCCTTAAACTCAAATCCCCATAGTGTTGCAAACTCCTTGGCAGAAGGGCAGCCGACGAATGTTTTGACAGCTCGTCTGCGATGCGTTGAAGAACCATCGTGCAGATTTCGATCACAGTCTCGACAGACTAACATTTTGTGATCCAAGCACTGAACATAAGCAAGATGAGATTTGCACGAGTTACACACAAGGGTACGGGGGTGCCGGCCGGACAGTTCATTCGCCCAATGGACTTTTGCATCACAGGATAGACAAAGATATGCTGCATCAGCATTACAGTAAACAAGTGGCCTCAATGCTGTGCAGAATTCACAAACTTTCTCCATTTCCTTTAGTTGTAAATTTCAAACATGAAAAAAGCTCCGGAAATTATAAAAGTTCATCTTATATATGAAGTTTTCCTATGTAAGTTTATATAAATAAATCCAAACACAATCATGAGAGATGACTCAATAGAATGTAAAAGCTGAAAAAACTGACAACTTTACAACGAACACTTGCACATTCTTGTGAAAACATAACAATAGGAAATCTGAAATCCCAAAGGAATTGTATAGGAAACTCTTTAATGCAAGGTGTTCAAGATTGCGATCTAGATCTTAAAAATCTTACAATTTTGCAATCTCACTCCTAACAGTCCCGGTCATAAGTAGAATTGTGAGTGATATTGGCCAGTTCCAGCCACCACTATTACAAACAGAAAAGGATGACAAGATGCCAAGGCGCAAAACCACATTTCAATGGAGGCCATTTTCCCACGAATTCACTTGCCTACCAAAATATCATGTAAAAAACTTCAAGTATATAGTATTATTTTTCCTTTTAGTAATATCTTCAGATTTTTTTTCTTTACAATATTATGTTTTCCGATTTTGCTACCTTCTCTCGAATTTACAAAAATAATTGGATAGGATTTTCAGATCATAGTTACGATCTTATGTTTTACTATCTTACTATCATCCCCTTTCGATCTTACTAAAATAACTGGATGAAATTTTTCTATCATAGTTACGATATTTATTTTTACGATCTTACTATCTCTTTTGATCTTAGGCAAGATCCGATCTTAACAATCTTACTTTAATGTACACATGTGACTATTACAATTTACAACAATAATAGTAATAACGCTTTGTATATCAATATTCCTCTAACTATGATAGTGTTCAACATTCCCATATACATGCATGTAACACCGACACCTCAGACACTCGAATTAAATGTATAGCTCTATTCAACATCCACACAATACTGATACATGTCTATATATCAATGTCAAGTGAGTGTCCATGTCAAAATAATGCTATCAACCTACTCTCTATCACATCAAGTTGAAATTTATCTGGGATCTACATAGTTTAGTGAGATCTATTGAAAATAGTGTGAGAAAAATATCATGAATATAACAAACAAGAGATCTAAAAACAGTAGAAAAAAAGAAGTGCATGCAACAATTAACATGAAATAAATTGTGAATTAAGAAACGTACTTGTGATTATTATTTCAGAGAAAGAGATATGAAAATTGATCTCAGAGAAAGTAACCAAGTTTTTGCTTCATTTTCCAGTTATTGAAGTGTTGTAGAGTTAGATTCTGAGGCATGAGTCATGCGTTGTTCTAGTTTTTACCTAAAGGGGGAAATGACGTGTACAGTTGAGACATGGAACTTTCCAGCGTGGAAGGTTGATGTGGGGTCCATTTGGGACGTTATCCAACTAAAAGTGCAATCTGTACCTTACATGTGAGTGTGGTTACGAAATCCGTAAGATTACCTTCGTTGAGCCAATAGGAGTGTGCCTGTTACATCTACCGGCATGGGTTAAACAGCTAGCTAGGGCCCACTCTCTTGTTCTTCCCGAGGCACCAAAACTACGATCTTCATTCTATTGTATGGAACCACAGTTTTTTTTCCTATCTCTATACCCTTTAACAAATTCTCGTTAAAAATCTAGAAAATATTTTAGAATTTAGGATCTATGTACGTATTAATTTTTCATAAAATTTAACGCAAACATATAAATTATTTTTATTATATTTAATTTTTAATTTGAAGTTGTATCTTTGAATATACTTTATAATATCTGAAATACGAATGTTTAAATAGTTAAAATGCACTCAGAAATATTTTTAAAGATGTATCTAAATTAATTTTTTTAAAAATAGAATGACCGGTTGATTTACGAAAGATGAGTGCGTCCAAAAATAAATTTTCAAAAACATCTGATAACAATTTCATAGGTGTAAACCATAAAATTTTTTACCAGACAATCACCTTTGAAAAATTATATAGCATTTTACTATACTCTTAAATTAATTTACCAATGTACCACACTTTTATCACTCTTTCGCCCAATAAATAGATGAGTGCATGAAAAAAAAATTCTTCTTCAAAACAATAGATGGACTAGTGAATACATCGATTAGAAAATAAATAAATAAAACACCATTCACCTACTCGTCCATCTATTAGACGTCTCGCTCAATAAATAGATGAGTGCATGAAAAAAAAATCGTCTTCAAGACAATAGATGGGTGAGTGAATACATCAATTAAAAAATAAATAAAAAATATCATTCACCTAGTTGTCCATCTATTAGACGAGAATCTACATGGAAATTGTTTGCTTCATCCACTCATCCATCTATTGGACGAGATCTTGAATAGAGATATTTATTCCATACACTCATTCATCCATTGGACAAGAGAGTAATAAAAGTGTGATATATTAATAAATTAATTTTAAAATATGACAAATAAAAAAAATCGTAAACCACATTGTAAAAAAGAAATTCTCTATGATAAAAAATTCAATTATAAAAAAGTTTTTGTCAAAACTTTCACTCTATCCCCTCGAATACACTGATTTTCACAATTTTTCATCCATTAGATTTATTCAAAGATGCTTGAGTTGCCACGTGTTCTTCTCTTTCAATTTATTTTCTTCCAAAAAATGTCATTAAAAATGCACAGAGAAGAGGCTGGGGGCGGGTCACCTCTCCGCTGCCGACAAGATGTTGCAGAATCCACCGCCTTGCTTTGATGCCGCCTTGTCACCGAAACTTTTCCACTTCCGCGATTACTACTACAGAGTTGATGATCACAAAAAAGCATGGTTTTCATTAAGATTTTCAGTATTAAAATTGAGATTGTTGGCCTGGGTTCATGAATTTTGACATTTTTATTTATTAGTACAAAATAACACACACGTGGCATTGTTTTAGACATGAGATTTATCCAACTGCCTACAAATGCTGAAAAGTAGAGTAACGTTCGCGCCAGAACGTTAGACAATCCATATCCCTCAAATAATTTTTGACAAGTTGTTTTGTTTTGAGCATTAGTTAATAATTAGAATTAGTTTATGAATCAAAATGTATAATAATTTATCTTTATAGACTTCTACTGAAAGTATTTTTGTCAGAGCATGATTTTACATAAATATATCAAAACTAGGTTACTATGAACTCCTCAAATACTTGTCCTAAAATAACCAGGTAGCAATGACCCTCCGAACCACCTGCATACCTCATATCAAGCCTGAGAGATAGATAAATCACACCTAAGTAATCACCATACACAATGAATTCGATTTGTATCCAACAAATTTGGCCTGATTAGGAGCACTCAGTAACAACAGCTGGCCATGAAAAGGCTATAACCTCGTAAGGAGTCAACAATATCTTGCATTTCTATCTAAAAGAATGTTTGTCACTATTGCTAGCAATAATAATAATTAATGATTATAATGATGGTGTCGAATTTGAGTTTCACCTTGACACAGTTCTATTGAACAGATAACCAAAATGATTGCAAAAACTCAAACATAATGCACATCAACAAAAGAAAGGTTTATACATTTTCACAATCCTATACCATAACATTGAAGAAACTTCTAACTAAAAAAGTGTTTCAAGAAATTACGTCAAAACATATGCTGTACAATTAGGCCTTCTGTATCATGAATAATTTAAAGAGCTTGAATTGTTATTCTCCGAGAAAAGTTGATAAAAAACTTGAAGATGTAAATCCATAAACGAGGCTCCAAAATGTCAATCTCAGCTTTATGATTGAAGATCTGCATCAGAAAGTTATTATGAGAAATCAAGAAAATCAACATATTTCCAAAAATGCAGACACGTTTTTAACCAAGAACATAATCAATTGAAAATTTGAAATGCTAAAAGAGCAGAAGAAGAGGTCACAAATGATACTTCTGAACTGCAGAGATAGGTCATGACATAAAAAGCAGACAATGCAATACTAGGAAAGGCTAAAGTAATGCTTTAGCTCTATAATCACATATCAATGTCGAATCTAATGAATAATTTCCTAACTAATGTAAGCTACCATCAGAAACAAGGTAGTTTATTTTCCAGCGGCAAGATAAGTGATACTACCGCAGAATATCATGATGATGAGATGGCCATAAATATAGAATTCTTAGATGTGGGAAGCTAGAACATTTCTTACCTAAATCAGCTTGATTTCACATGAACTTCAATCATATCGTTGTCTTCCATTCCCAGGCTAGCAGGGGTTTCAGATGAACTTATTTTATCACCATCAAATAACAATACAATTTGTTTCATATCACACTTCATTTTCTCTGCATATGTTTTACTAATCCTTTCAAACTTGTCATCCTACAGAGAATTGAAAAGAGAGAGTAAGACATTGAGCTAGATTTTGACAAATACAATCATTCAGTATTACCTAAACTAAAGAAATCCATCTCTGATAAGGAAAAGACAGAGGCAGATCGGAAATGCAACCCCTAACATTTCAAACAAACTACAACTAGATTTGACCCGAGTACAAATATAAACAACACAATATATTAAGTACATCGACAACATAAAGTATATCTATTGAAGGAATTAGTACCATGAACATACGAATCTGCTTTGTTTCACCCTTGTCTTGAACAGAGATGAGAATCTTTGCTCGTTCCGGAGGTTTTGATGTTTTTTCACTTACATCGTCCATGGATGTCTGCAATGCATCGGAATTTTCCATTTCTACAGACTCCTCAACAGTTTTTAACAATTCTTTTGCTGATTCAGCAAAAGAAGCAAGCTCTTTCTTCTTCAACCTATACAAATGATGAACACCTTATAAGAAACTGTATGGTAAATAGAGAATATAAGCACATCAGCATAACGATAAGAACATAAAGCAGCTTAACTTCAACTATTAGTAACGTTCCAAACCACGAATAGTCTTAATTAGTTTTAAAAGACTAAAATAACCTTCTTTACCAATGCACACTTTTTCTGGATAAGAGCATGTATTCATTAACACCCTATAAGTAGGGTTTTTATAGCAT